TAAGTTTGTATTGGTGCTCTGAGCAGGTTTTCAGAGCGATGTTCGACCATGACTTGATGTTCAGGTTGAATCCGATTTTCAACGCTTGTAACTGGTCCAGGATTAAGTGCAATGTCATTAAAGATCGTAATTTCAAATGCCCAGTCATGCCCAGGAACAGCTAACGTTGTATTACCTCTCTTTCCCCATCGAATCGCAGCTACTCGCAGTTTGTGGTAACCCGTCGCAGTTAACTGTAACTTTGACTTGCCGCACCGGTATAACACAACAGCAAAGTACTCTAAGTTTCGTTCGCGGATCTCAATTCTTGGAGCAGCGGGAGAGTTGTTCGTATCAAATAAATGGGTTACGCTAGTTTTCGTCTGAAAACATACACTACTGACGGCAGAAATGAGGAACAAACTAAGAAATGTACGAGCATTGGCAGCCATGACAGCGCCCATCACATCACATGAGTTTAACGCGGACGACATCAGCGCGGACGATGGGAATGTGAAGCACGCTCGTGCAACTGAATTTGATTACACGCTATCTGATAAAACCACCTGATGACTCTTTGAACTGAGGAGCTCTGGGCAATATGTCGTTTTTAACAAGAGCATGGACCTGGGAGATCCCTTTGATTTCCATTCATAGCTGTCTCCAAGGGCAAAATGAGCTCTTTCTGCTGGCTGTGACCACAGAATTCAATCTGAGAGCTGTTTTACCCCTTGTCCCCGCCCACTAATAATAAGCTCATTTTATAGATTCTACTGATTATCTTTAAAACCAGTAATGGATATCAGTGGGTCTCTGGGTACGAGTAAGTGTGCAAAAATTGGTTATTTCGGAGTACAAGCATAAGACCTTGCACAGTGTAATGGCTCCCCATGCCAAACAATTGTAGATGTGAAGGCTATCGCCACAATACCGTCTTCCATAGTTCTAGCTTTGGGATAAATCATCTTATAGCCTACGATAACAAGCTCCGCGAGTGGCTGGAAAGGAATGAAGGGGGTTTTTCTTATATCCATAGTTACATACATTTATCCTTTGCGTATTTATTAAAAACGCCCAAAATTACAAGCTTTCAGTTAACTTTCTATCACAGTTTTCACAGTTCTGCACCCTTCAAAGGTTCGAATCCGGTCTAAGCCTGGTTGTTTTAGGTTTGTCTTCTGGTAACTTCTTTAAAAATTGTTATATAGTAATGCCTGAATCCTTAGTCCACTGGTAGTTAACTTAATTCTGTTTGTATCTATTTGTGTGTATATCTACGTTTGTATGTTTTTGTGTTCCTGACCTAAACATGTAAATTTTCTTTACTTTTAACTGGCTGCCTAGCATTTTTAACTTTCAGGTTATTTCAGGTAGCCAGCATCCCTATCATTTGGTGTAGTGATAAAAATTCCGTTTCTTTTTCCTTAACTTCTGGGGTGAAATAAAGTATTTTTGTTATTTTTGTTATTGTTGTTGTAACAAAGCACTTCGAGAACAACAAAACTTCTTTCTTCCAACAGGAGAATAGACCCCCTTGTTTTTTCTCCCTTCTCTTTTTGTGAACACAACACTACTAACAACACCATCCAATCGAGTTATCTGCTTCAACTTTTTATTATCAAAATTGTTCAGGGATTTGAATTACAGGAACTAGGTCACGTTACCGACATGTGCAAGTTCTCTACTGCCGCTGTCAAATTGGTAAGAAGTTTAAGAGTACGGTATTCTCATGTGCATGTCTATGTTGACTAGAAAAAATATTGTTTTACAAGATATGCTTTCGTGTTCCGATCAGTTTGTGACAATAAAATATATAACATAGGGTGTTTCCTTAAATTGAAGGTTAAGGTTTAAAGATTCTTTGTCCAGTTCGTTCTTTTTTTTCTTTTCGGTTTCGATTAGGACTAACTCGTTGCTGAAGTCCCTACCAGAAGTCTTCACAGTTCGGTGTGTGCTTCAGCGGGTACCATGTCACCGGTGACATCCTTAAACCCATCAGTCGGAGACGCCATTTTGATTTTGAGCTTTCTTCCTGCCTGCACGTTGTCCAGGTACACCACGCGGATGGTTAGATCTTCGTAAGTACGGAAATAGAGAGCGTTGTTCGTGAGGTCCTTAGCCACCGCCCAGGAGGTGTAGTCTGCGAGGCCCTGGTGCTTGTGGTCAGAAATCACTCCGTGTGGAATGTCGACAGTATTTAGAATATGGTAAGCCATCTTAACTGCCTCCTTGCTTGTTTTGACTGGACCAGCGAAGTTGGCCAAAATCGCAGCACGTACAAACCTTGAAGTGGGTGTCATGTCTCCGGGCATCCCAAGCATACCGCTACCCTCACCCGTAGGTTTGAAGTGAGTCTTACCCAAGACCAACTC